GTGCTCCTGGCGCCTGAGCAAAGTGCCATTCCGGGTGCCTCCCCCTTGCCTTGTGAGACGCCACCTTGGCTTCCTAAGCTGCCACTTGTGTTCCCAGAGTAGCAGATACGGGCCCATCACCAACCTCCCAACTTCTGCCCATGGATAAAACACCAGGGGGTAGACTTACGTGTTTTATTTCAAGACAAAAGTTGAAATGAGACAAAACGGAGCTATAGCAAGTTGTAGGGAAGGAACATGAAAATAACCAAGGGTCAAAAAGGGAGAAAAACTAGAAGGGTAGATAGCACTGACATAGACATGAAAAGAGTATAAAACTAGAAGCTTCCGGATAAAAAATGTACAAAATGTGTGCGTTTAAATATTTCCTGTTCAAGATGACAAGTGCATGCAAGAAAGCACTCACCACCCAAGAAATGTGTTGGGACAGGGACACCAATAGTGGCGTGAGGACTTTCTTTACTCAGGCTGCGAAATCTCACCACCCTCCAGGTGGCAAGTTTTGTTTTGGTGAACCCTCAGACGACACCAGGTGCAGGGACACCAGCTTCCCTCTTCGGTACTTGCTTACCTCGCAGCTACACGGCGGCCACTGGCCAACTCTCTTAAGCCTCAAGTTCTGAGATGGGCGCCCATGGTGGTGGTCCTAGGGGTGGCTCCCAAGCATTAGTTAAGCTCCTAGGCGATCATTCATGGCCCCCACCCCCGGCCCCCGGCCTCCCACAGTGAGACCGAACTGAAGAGGTCACACTACTCTAGGGGGCGTAATGAGCAAAAAGTCCCAAAGACGACAGTCCAGAAATAGAAATTACCAAAAGTTAAGTGCATTTGATCATGAACCCCTCCTAGCCCCCAGCTCATGACGGGAAGGAAGGAGGTAAACCAGGTGCCCGTGCCCTCGCTGAACGTGAAACTGTGAGGTAGATGTGTCACGAGGACAAAAGTTCTGGGATATGGTTGCAGTAGCTACGGCAGGGAGAAGCAGCAACGGTGATGGGCAGGAGGGCGCCTCGCTTTGTCACGAGCACAGTCGTGGGGAGCACTGCTACTGAGGTCAGCAGAGATCAGAAGGGTGACAGCGCCCAGGCCGGCCTTGGAGGCTGAAGGAAGACCCTCCTTTAAAAAGAAAGTGGGAAATGAAAGGTGAGGAAATACGAGGGCTCTGCTCATGCTCGGAAGGACCTAAAATGCAGGTACACAGAAATCGAGTAGTTGGTTTAAGGAGGACTCAGTGCGAGCAGGCACAAGTTGAACGCGTAGCCCTGACACCTCGGCTTGCATCACTCCCACCCTCTTCTCTGCGGCCGAGTTGAGACCTGATCGCGGCCCTAAGTTCATTGCCACTGGTTAAGAAGGTCAAGTAGCCCTCCCAGGTGCAGTGCCGCTGCTCCCCCAGAAGGTGGAGCCTGTGCACAACGGAGCAGCAATGGTCCCGCCCCCAAAGACTAAACTGCCAGATCCCTGCAACATCCCGTGCCAGCTCGGCCTGTCAAGGGCCTTTCGGTGCAAAGCGACAGGCCGAACTTAGGTGGGCACCGAAGGAGCAGGGAGTGAGCGCCGCAGGCACCACCGGGCTGAACGAGCTCACTGACCAGAGAGTGCAGGAAGGAAGAGGGCTGGAGCTGGGCTGAGGTGGCCCAACCCGGGACGAGCGGGTAGAGCAGCGAGTCCAGTCTTCACCCTCAGCGAGTGTAATGTCCTCCTACCGCCCCTACCTACGTGATCCTGCCAAGGGCCGTTGCCTCTTCAGAGCCACCGGACTTCCGAGTCTTGGCAGCTCTTCAAATTCTTTGGTTAACCACAGTCTTAAAAAATAACATCTCTCCTTATCATCATTCCCACATCTTCCTTACCCTCTACCCACACCCTCCTCCAAAGGTCTACTCAGCTTAGGGTTTGAACATCAGCTCAGAGAGTGAAGGGAACAGTAAGAACACTGACCTGAGATGGGACAGGCAGGCTCTGAGCCTCCATCTGAGGAAGGGACTCGGACATACTCTACTTGCACGGAAACAGAACACAAAGTATCTTAAGGATGTTACAAGCGTCTGTTAATGGGTGGGGGTGGGGGTGTGAGAGGTGACGCGGCTCCGTGAAGACAACTGAGAAGACGCTAAGCACAGCGTTTAGAGAGCCCGGCCCCAGGCCCCCTACTCGGCCCCAGGCCCCCTACTCGGCCCCAGGCCCCCTACTCGGCCCCTGGCCCTACTGCCGCCAACAGGCTATTTCGTGAGAGAAAAAGCATCCCTCATTCCGGTCTCCCCTTTCCCCACTCCCTCACTCACCTTAGCAACTAACTGTTAGACGTGAACTAACAACTAGGGGAAAAACAGGAGCGTAACCCCAAAACCAAAAAATTCTACAGCGCCATTAACTACTACAAAAGTAACTCGAGGCTCCCCATCCCTTCCCGTGCCCAAACCTGTCCAAACCAGAAACACTCGACAGAACCCTTAGGGAGAGTCACATGAGAAGAACACACAAAAGGTAACTCCATTATTTAAAACAAAGCAAAATCCTGGCCATTTAAACATTAAAAAAAAAAAAAAAGCAAAAACAGACAATGGAATCAAGAGTTCTGGGGGAAAAAAATAAAGTTAAAAAAAAAAGTTCTGGGAGGCAAAGGAGAGGCAACCGCCACATGAACAAGTCTCCATACCTGAAAGGCCCCCACGCCACTGGGCTGTCAGTGGCCTGCCCAGCAAGCCTCCTCCAAACTAGCAATCGGAGGAACAGGATTCTGGATTTGTTTTCTCTTCTTCTTCAAGGCCACTGACAAGAAATCTATGGTATACTTTCCTCGACTCAGGGCTGGAGACTCAGAAACAAGAGCTACTTGCCCAGCCATACCCTTCTAGAACGCGACCGGATGGGGGGCTGCCCTACAAGGGAGAAGCCCTTCCGGAGGTGGGAAGTGGCCATGAGGAAACGAAGAGTGGGAATTCCGTCCTCCACACCTGACACCCTACCCGTAGCCACCTCCCCTGCCTCCAGGACCGCACAAAAGGGCAGCCTAGGGGCAGGGAGCGCGGGACTCACTTCGGGGAGGGAAAGCTGGCTGCGAGCTCTCTGTCCGAGCACTGCTACCTCAGCTGCTTTTCCCTCCGTGTCCTCTCCTTCCTCTCCCTCCTCTCCCGACAGCTGCCCTGGCAGACACCGGGTTCTCCATCGTCTCTCTTTGGCTTCCTGCCCACCGGGTGAAAAGCACCTGACCTTGCCGTGCAGGGGAGCAGGACTGCGGGCGTGGGAGCGAGGGACCGGAGCGGACAGCCGCGGGACCTCACTTCCCGGACAGGGGCGAAGGCTTCCTCCTGTCCCCACGAGGGACCGGAGCGGACAGCCGCGGGACCTCACTTCCCGGACAGGGGCGAAGGCTTCCTCCTGTCCCCACGGGCACGGCGCCAGGGCGGACGGGGCCTTCCAGAGGGAAATACAGGCTTTTAAGGATGGCTGACCTTGTAAATAACGGGATGGGGTTTATTGCCCTTTTCCGTCCCAACTCCCTGTCATCCTTCCATAAGAAGGAACATTATTTTTAACGTCCTGGGTCCCTGGAAAAGGGATCCAAACAAATGAGGGCAGAGCAGGTTGCCCTGGACAGTTACAGAGAGCTCTGTCCCTTCCCACCCCTGCACGGCGCACAACCTCCAACAGTCCCCACACCTTGACCCTGCTGAACGCGCGCGTGTGTGTGTGCGCGCGTGCATGCGCACGTAGCATGGACACAACAGCACAAGCCTTTCTAGGACGGCTCGCGCGGTATGCAGGTATCCAAGGTCAAAGCCTGGGGAAAATTCAAGGACCCCAGTTCTGTCCCTCTCAACCAGTTACACTGCGTATCAAAAGGCCCTGCACGTCCAGGGTTGGGGTGGGATTTACCAGGTCCTCTGGCACCGGAGGCAGTAACAACACTGTCTACGTCAAGGTTTCGCAACCTTGGTACCACCGACATTTGGAGCCAAATAGTTCTTCGGGGGGCGGGGAGTTGGGGCTGTTCTGTGCACCTGCAGGATGTGTAACAGCGTCCCTGCCGCTCCAGCCACTAGACGCCCTCAGCCCCAAGCAAGGCCATCAAAAACGTCTCTAGGGATTTCCAAGTGGCCTCTAGGGGACAAAACCACCTTCCTGAGAACCACTGGCCCAGAGGAAGCAGCTGATCACCCACAGCACAGTCATAACTGCAAAGGCTGCTCTGAGCACCACGACGTGGGCAGGGAAGACAGGGGCCCTGGAACCCAGGGCCGAAAAGGAGACCCTCCAGGGAACAGGGGAGCAGGGACTCCTGAAAAGCTGTCGCTGGAGAAGACACTTCCCCTCAGACGGTGCTGGCCTCAGTGGTGAGAAGAATTAGAAGTCAAAAGCCCACCCTTCTGGAACTTGCCAGGGAAGACCTACTCTTCATCTAAATTTGACTCAAGGATGGCTTCCAAAGACTGTGGGAGTGTCTCTTAATGAGCCTACGTCACATCTCTGCTTCCTGAAGGCAAAGTCTGGTCTTTTCTCCCAGGATGTGGCAAGGCAGAGGGAGGAAAAGCCACTTCCATTGCCTGCTTAGTGTTCTACCTGCTCCTTGCCCAGCCCCCAAAAAAGTCCCTAGAAAATCTCATTCAAAAAAGAAATTCACAAAATTAAAAACTGTAAAAAAGGCAAAGTCGGCAGGCTCTGCTGTATAAAAAAGAGAAAAAGAACAGTCTGGATGAGAGAAAGAAGGAATAAAATGTGTGAAGAGATGGGATGTGTGAGCTAAGAGCTTTATAAAACAAAATTTGTAAAGTTTGTATATTCTCCTACACACACACACACCCACACACCAAAAGAAGCCCATCACTAAACTCCACATAAGGGTCCACCGTAGGACTCCTTCATCAGTGTTCTCTCACTGCACTTTTTCCCCCCTTTTTTTAAAAGAAATAACAAAAATTTTTTAAAGCCTCCTCAGATAAGTCCAACACATCAAAAACTGTTTTTCATAAAGATGAGAAGAAGCTCAAGGCACTATGTCTCTTTGGGATATGGAAAGAGTATATTGCAGTTAAAAACAAAATATAAAACTTTCTTTGCAAAAGAAAGAAAAAAAGTTCTTTTGATCTCCTTGAATGCAGCACACAGAAAAAGTGACGGTTCCCCCAGGCCTCCCCAGGAATGGAGGAAGAAGCAGAGGGCAGGAGTGCAGAGATTTCTTTTCTCCAGGCGCAGGCCTGTGAAAAGCGCTGCCCAAGTGTTAGTCCTTAGCAGGGCCCTCCGCGGGTCTGTATCCCGTCAGCCCTCTGGAGTTCGGGAGCATCAGCCTCTCCGATGATTCAGGCGTCCAGGTGCACCTCAGACACGATGCGGGTTCGCTTCCAGACCACTGCAAGAAAGCAAATACCACAACAGAGCAAGTCAGATGAAATTTCTGGTTTCCCAGTGCATATAAAAAGTATGTTTACACTACACTGTAGCCTACTAGGTGCGCAATAGCAGGTCTCAAAAAATAAGAGGCAGACCTTAATTCAAAAATACTTTATTGTGAAAACTGTTAACTATCACCTGAGCTTTCAGCAAGTCACAGTCACTGATCACAGATTACCATAAAAATGCAATAAAAAACTTGACATATATTTTTTAAGATTGTATTTATTTATTTGAGAAAGAGAGAGAACACAAGCAGGGGAAGGGGGAGAGGGAGAAGAAGGCTTCCCGCCGAGCAGGGAGCCCGATGCCGGACTCGATCCCAGGACCCTGGGATCATGACCTGAGCTGAAGGCAGACCCTCAACTGACAGATTTCCCGCTGAGCAGGGAGCCCGATGCGGGGCTCGATCCCAGGACCCTGGGACCAGGACCTGAGCCGAAGGCAGACACTTAACCACTGAGCCACCCAGGTGCCCCCAAATTTGACCTATTTTGAGAATTACCCAAATGTGACACATAGACACAAAGTGAGCAAATGCCAGTGGCACTGACAGCCTTGCTTAAAGCAGGGAAAGCAGGGTAGCCACAAACCTGCAATTTGTACCAAAAAAAAAAAAAAAAAGGCAATATTTGCAAAGCTCAGTAAAGCACGAGAAAAAGAGGGATGGCTGTCGCCCGCAAGAGGGGGAGGGGAACCCTAGAGGAGGCGTAAAGCGGGGGGCGGGGGGGGCGCGCTTACCGCTGCTACTTGTTGAACTGGAAGGAGTAGAGCCCGTGGTCTGAGGGCGCCTCCACCGGCACCTGAGTCTGCTGGCCGCCGCTCTCCTGCACCGCAGCCGAGGCCGGAGAGTCAAGCTCGGCGCGCCTGTGGCCCCCCCGCCCCCAGAGTGGGGTGTCCTGCCCCACCTCCCCCTCCCACGCGCACACAGCAGCACCTCCCCGACACACAGCGCACCCTAGCCTCTTGGCGAGCCGCGGCTCAGTACGGGCCGGCCTTAACGAGCGCCTCGTTCAAGGGCACGGACGGACGAGGTCCTTCCTTCCTACGCTCACTCACACGCCCAGCAGCTGACCGCGCGCGCGGAATCAGCATCACTGTTAGAGGGAGATCTTTTTTTTTTCCCCTAAAATGTTGAGTGAGCACAAGCAGGGGGAGCTGCAGGCAGAGGCAGAGGGAGAAGCAGGCCTCTCGCCGAGCAGGGAGCCCGATGCGGGGCTCGACCCCAGGACGCCGGGATCACGACCCGAGCTGAAGGCAGTCACCTAACCAACTGAGCCACCCAGGCGCCCTGCTAGAGGAAGATCTTGATCGGGGGCAAACCTCCCTCTGTGCGTTTTCCTACGTGCGATTCCGCGAGACCAGAAAGCTCTTACCTCGGCTGCAACACCGGCGGAAGGCACGGGGGTGTACGGGGCGATGTAAGCTCCTGGCAGCGGGGCGGCCGCCGGCACGTACTAGAATGAAAGCCATCCATCCACAGGCTCAGAGCAGGGAGGGGACTCCTGGCGACATTTAAAGCACCCGGGGAGCTCTAAAAACGACTAATGCCTAGGTTTCATCCCCAGAGAGTGGCATTTAATTATCCCTTCTCCGGAGCGCTCCAGGGGCTGCTAAGTACACAGGCTTATAGAGACGTGCGCCCCCGGGGCTTCCCTTCCTCCTCCGGCCTGCGCACCACAGTGCAGCGGACCCGCAAGAAACCTGCTGAGCTTCACCCGTTCTTCTGGTCACCATGTTGGGAAGGATTTCTAGGAAATGTGTGTGAGCTCCTGGGTAAACTGCGGCGTAGACAGAAGCACTATTTTGTTTTGTGAGTAGGAATCGGTTAAAAGGGGAGCGGCATGGCGATATTCTGTTTATCTCCTAGTGGGGGTCTGAGCCGTGCCTTCAGTGACACTGAAGTGACTGACACCCTCATTCACAGGCATTTTCGCTGAAGAGCTCTGCATAGGTACCCCCTGCTCAGTCGGAGTCTGAAATCAGAAACAGCCCGCTTGGCTTTACCGTGCCCGTGCTGCTGAGCGAGAGGTGCCCCAGTTGCTGGGTAAGAGGTCCCATCATGGAGGCAGGCTGCAGAGAAATGGGGTGATCCATCCCCGGCGGCAGAACGGAACCCTGGAGGCGGCAACAAAGGACAGAGTTAGCTGGCAGCATCCAACTAAGCCGCAGTGATTCACGCCTACCAGGACCGCTGAGGACAGACATTTAAAAGTCCTGGGAAATGATAGGTGAGTAGCGACCCAGCTGCCCAACAGCAACAGGTGCTCTGCCCGTCAGTGTGGAGGGGTCCTCCTCTTAAGAATAACAAACTGACAGAATTTCAGGTCACACAGCTGCGTTGCACAAGGGACTGAGCCAGAACTCACACCCACATCGTCTATCATCAGATCGCATTGTTTTTCTTTACAGCAAACTCTTTGGCTTTTGCCCACTCCTGAACACTCACTGAAGGCTGCATGAGGTATGACTGGTGATGCATCCACGACGGGTTAGGTGCTTGTAGAGGAGATGTCTGAGTTACTCTCTAAGGCAAACCAAAGAAATAGACAAAAACATTAATTGCCTAGAAACTACTGTTTCTCCCAGTGATCTGATAGTGTTCAGCAAAACCCCAAAAAAGTTGGAGTGCCCCCTCACAAAATAGAAACATTAAGAATACACTCTTCAAGAACTATTAAAAACTCGCACACGTCAACAAATAACCCGATTCAAAAATGGGCAAAAGATAGGAATAGATACTTCTCTAAGAAGATATACAAATGGCCAATAAGCACACGAGGGAGGCTCAACATCATTAGTCACCAGGGAAATGCAAATCAAAACCGTGATGAGATGCCACTTCACACCCACCAGGATGGCTGTAATTAAAAGGAGAGAGTAGGGGCGCCTGGGTGGCTCAGTAGGTTAAGTGTCTGACTCTTGATTTCGGCTCAGGTCATGCAGGGTCCTGGGATCCAGCCCTGCATCAGGCTCCTTGCTCAGCAGGGGGTCCGCTGGAGATTCTCTCCCTCTGCCTCCCCCTCCCCCCCAACTCTCTCCCTCTCTCTCATAAATACATCTTAAAAAGAGGGGAGGGGGGCGCCTGGGAGGCTCAGTCAGTTAAGCATCTGCTTTCAGCTCAGATCATGATCCCAGAATCCTGGGATCAAGTCCCGCATCAGGCTCCTTGCTCAGTGGGGAGCCTGCTTCTCCCTCTGTCTGCCATTCCCCCTGCTTGTGCTCGCTCTCCCTCTGACAAATAAATAAAATCTTAAAAAAAAAAAAAAAAAGAATAACAAGTGTCATACACTGTGGGCGGGAATGTAAAATGGCGCAGCAGCTCTGGAAAACAGTTTGGCATTTCCTCAGAAAGTTAAACATATTGTTCCTACGTAACCCAGCAAGTCCACGGGGGTGTATACCCAAGAGAAATTAAAACATGTGTTGACACAAAAATTGTACACAAATATTCAAAGCAGCATTATTCTAATAGCAAAAGGTAGAAACAACCCGAAAGGCCATCAACTACTAAGTAGAGAACAAACGGGTATAGTCATACAATGGCAGGGGACTGAATCAGTCATAAAGAAGAGTGAAGTACTGCTTACGTGCTATGACATGGATAGACCTCGGAAGCATGCTGAGTGGAAGAAGCCTGGCCCCAAAGACATACACTGCATGCTTCCATTTATACAAAGTATCCAGAGGAGGCAAATCTATAGCCATTGAAAGTATCTCAGTGGTTGCCAGGGGGTATGGGTGAGGGAGAATGGGCAATGACCGCTAACCGGGACAGAGCTTCTTTCTGGGGTAATAAAAATGTTCTGGAATTAGATAATGCTGATAACTGCATAACTTTGCAAAATATACTTGAAACTACTGACTTGTATACTTTAAGTAGGTGAATTTTATGGTATGTGACTTATCTCAATTTTATGTATCTATTTATTTTAGATTTTATTTATTTATTCGACAGAGAGAGAGAGTACAAGCAGGGGGCGCAGCAGAGGGAGAGGGTGAGAGAGAAGCAGACTGCTGAGCAGGGAGCCCGATGCGGGGCTTAATCCCAGGACCTCAGGATCCTGACCTGAGCCAAAGATCATGAGGCTTAACCAACTGAGCCACCCAGGCACCCCTGAATTATCTCAATTTTGAAATGAAAAAAAAAGACAAAGAAAAAGAGCAATGAGAAGCTAGAAATGTATCACAATAAACAAGTAGGTTTATTTCATAAATGTAAAGATTGTTCAAGATCAGAAACTCTATAAACGTAAGTCAAAATCGAAGGAAAAAGCCAGAGTGTAATATAAGATGACAAAAAGACATTTGATAAAATCCAGCAGCAATTTATTAAAAAAAAAACCCAAAAAACAGTAAAATAGAGTCTAGAAAAAAACTACTTACATATTAAAGGCTAGTACCAAAACCTAGCTGTTAACATTAACCTAAACAAAGAAATACTAAAACCACTGCATTTATAATAATTATAATATCTTAGAGTAGGGTCAAACAAATACAATTAGATACGAACACAACTGGCATAAAATTGGAAAGGAAGAGAAAACTATGATTTTTGCACTGATGATACAACTATATACCTAGAACACTTAAGAGACTCAGTAAAAAAAAATGCTAGTAGTAATAAGGATTTGGTACATTAGCTGCACACAAGATACATGAACATAAACCAACAGTCTTTCTTCAGTGTATCTATAGCATCTAGAAATGCTTATAAAATTATAGAACACTTACAAATATATTCAACAGGAAAAGCATAAGATCTATATAAACAACACTAACATCTTATTGAAGGGCATAAAAAAAGATTTAAAAACATGAAAAGAAATACTACATCTTGGGTGAAAAGAATACTTTTTTGAGAGAGAGAGAGATTAAGAGAAAGCATGAGCAGGGGGAGGGGCAGAGGGAGAAGTAGGCTCCCTGCTCAATGTGGGGCTTGATGTGGGGTTCGAAACCAGGACCCTGGGATCATGACCTGAGCAGAAGGCAGATGCTTAACCGACTGAGCCACCCACAGACCCCGAAAAGAATAGTTCTTAAAAAGTCAATTCCCGGGCGCCTGGGTGGCTCAGTTGGTTAAGCGACTGCCTTCGGCTCAGGTCATGATCCTGGAGTCCCGGGATCGAGTCCCGCATCGGGCTCCCTGCTCAGCAGGGGGTCTGCTTCTCCCTCTGACCCTCCCCCCCTCATGCTCTCTCTATCTCATTCTCTCTCTCAAATAAATAAATAAATAAAAATCTTTAAAAAAAAAAAGTCGATTCCCAGGGCACCTGGGTGGCTCAGTCAATTGAACATCCCACTCTTGGTTTCAGCTCAGGTCATGATCTCAGGGTCGTGGGGTTACCACACTTAGCGTGGAGTCTGCTTGAGATTCTATTTCTCTCTCTCCCTCTGCACCCCCCCACTAAAAGAAATAAATCTCTAAAAAAAATGTCAATTCTCAAAAAGTCAGTTCTCTTAAACTAATACATAAATTTAATGAAATTCCAATTAAAATTGTCAGATTTCCAAAAATTAGATATCATAAACTTTATACAGAAGAGTAAATGCCGGGGCGCCTGGGTGGCTCAGTTGGTTAAGCAACTGCCTTTGGCTCAGGTCATGATCTCAGGATCCTGGGATCGAGCCCCGCATCGGGCTCCCTGCTTGGCAGGAAGCCTGCTTCTCCCTCTCCCACTCCCCCTGCTTGTGTTCCCTCTCTCGCTGTGTCTCTCTCTGTGAAATAAATAAATAAAATCTTAAAAAAAAAAAAAAAGAAGAAGATTGCACTGCATGGTATCTGCCCTCAGCAGGTCATTCCTGCTGGGTGTTCAAGAGACAGTGCAATAGAAACTCAGTATCTGGCATCGTTGGTTTTCTTGGCTTTGTGCATGTTAAACCTGGTATTTTTATTTCTGCATGGAGCACTGGGTGTTATGCACAAACAATGAATCATGGAACACTACATCTAAAACTAATGATGTAATGTATGGGGATTAACATAAGAATAAAAAAAATAAAAAAAGAAGAAGAAGAAGAGTAAATGCCAAAAAACAGCATAAAGTCTGAAAGAGTGGGGAAAAGGTTTTGTCTTTTATAATATTAGAAGATATTCTGGGGCTCCTGGGTGGCTCAGTTGGTTGGGCAATTGCCTTTGGCTCAGGTCATGATCCTGGAGTCCTGGAATCGAGTCCCGCATTGGGCTCCCTGCTCAGCAGGGAGTCTGCTTCTCCCTCTGACCCTCTCCCCTCTTGTGCTCTCTCTCAGTCTCTCTCAAAAATATAAATAAAATATTTAAAAAATATATTAGAAGACATTCTGAAAGCCACTGCAATCAAGTCAATGTATCACCAGAGTAAGGACAGACACAGTGAGCCCTGGAAGAGGATCAAGGACACAGAAACAAACCCCAGTATTTATTATAGCTGGCATTTTAACTCACCACTGTTTAATTTTTAATTAATTCACCGTATTAATAATCCATTAATTCAAATATGATTTAATAATTTGGTGCTAGGACAACCGGTTAAAACATTCTGAAAGAATGAAATAAAATGCCTATCTGGTGCCCCATACAAAAATAAATTCCTGATGATTACATATTTAAATTTTACTGTAAAACAATAAAATAAATCTTGGAGACCATATGTATAATATAGGGACTGGGAAGACCTTTTTAATTAAGAAATTCAAAAGCTTTAGTGGAAACGCAGACATATTTAACTGTACACAAATTTTAAACTTTTGCGGTTTTTTGTGGTGCAAATGAGTGATTCCCAAAGTATGGTCCCTGGACAGGCAGCAGGGGCAGCAGCAGCATCTGGAAACAGAAATGCAAATTCCTGCCTCCTAGCCTAGTCTTACTGAATCAGAAATTCTCTGTGTGGTGCCCAGTAATTTGGGTTTGATAAGCTTTCCAAGTGATTCTGATTGACAGCTCAAGCTTGAGGACCACAACACAAAGTCAATGGACAAAAATTAAATCTGGAAAAAAATATTTGTAAGAAAGATAACATTCAGAGGATTGATACTTTAATAATATGCAAATGTGGTGGCGCCTGGGTGGCTCAGTTGGTTAGGCGTCTGCCTTCGGCTCAGGTCATGACCCAGGGTCCTGGGATCGAGCCCCGCATTGGGCTCCCTGCTCAGCAGGAAGCCTGCTTCTCCCTCTCCCACTCCCCCTGCTTGTGTTCCCTCTCTCGCTGTCTCTCTCTCTGTCAAATAAATAAACAAAATCTTAAAAATAAATAAATAAATAATATGCAAATGCTTTTTGTAAGTTGATGGGAAACGAATAACCAAACAGAAAAATGGGCCAAGTGTATCAAGAACAATCAGAGAAGAGCAAATCAAAATATGATAAACAGGGGCGCCTGGGTGGCTCAGTCGTTAAAAGTCTGCCTTCGGCTCAGGTCATGATCTCAGGGTCCTGGGATCGAGCCCCGCATCAGGCTCCCTGCTCAGCGTGAAGCCTGCTTCTCCCTCTACCCCTCCCCCCTACTTGTGTTCCCTCTCTCGCTGTGTCTCTCTGTCAAATAAATAAAATCTTTAAAAAAATAAAAATAAATAAATATGACAAACATAAAAAGACATGCTTAAACTTGACTGTAGTCAGGGAAATGCAAATTAAAGTAACAATGCACTTTACACCTATCGAGATAGGAAAAACTGAAAAAGACCAATGTCACTTATGGCTGGAGGGAAATGGCCACTCAGACATTGCTAGTGGAAATGTGAACTGACACAGCCTTTGTGGGAAGCAATCTGGCAACATCTGTAAAACTAAACGTCCATATATTATCCAACCTAGCAAGCCCACTCCTTGGACTCTAGCCCCCAGAAAGAACAGTACTCAGATTTGAGAATGTAGGCATAAGAATCTTTACATATGTTTGTTTCTGGGGATTAGAGTCCAAGGAATGGGACTGCTAGATTGAATAATATATGGATGGAAGTATTATTTGTACCAGAAAACCCCTGAAATCCAATTGAATACCCTTCACGGAGGTAGGGTTGAAGAATTCTGGTCTCTGCAGCATGAAATATAATGCAACTGTTTAAAAAAGAAATAATTAGAACAAAAAGTCTCAACATTAGCTACATCAGAATCACCTCGAGGGCTTGTTAAAAAACTCAGCTGGTGGGGGCAGGGACACGGGACAGTGGAAACAGGAGCGGATTAAGAGGTACAGAGTAGCAGGTAGAAGATATGTGAGTCACAGGGATGAAAAGCACAGCATAGGGAATACAGTCAATAATACTAGAATAACTTTGTATGGTGACAGATAGTGAACAAAAAAACAGATTGCTGGGACCCATCCCCAGAGTTTCCACTTCAGCAGATCTGGGGTGGAATCCAAGAATTTATGTTTTTTGAAATTCCCAGGTGATACTGCTCATCCAGGCACCAAACTTTGAGACTCACTGGTTTAAGATACTGTTAAGTGAGAAGAGTGAAGTGTAAAAAATATATTTAATCTGGCCAGATTTTTGTAAAATAAACAATGACTTCCAAAACTGTATACATATGCATATATGCACATGAAGAAAAATCTGGAATTTTCTGAAATATATGGAATAGAAAATTAAAAATATAGTAATATAGGCTTACTTGTGGACACAGAGTAAGAGGATGCTACCACAACAGTCTGTATATATGTCATGGGATCACACGTCATGCTTTCATGTAAAATTATCTGTGAGCAGTATGTATAAAGGAAAAACTAAAAAATACGGAGTTTCCAGCCTTATGCTCCTTTACCTAAAGCACAGTGACAGGGAAAACTACCACACCCACCACTTTTTTCGGGCATGAACGTACCTGATAGGAAGACACAGGAGATGGAAGGTACGGGGAGAGTGCAGACTGAGCAAGCATCCTGTTGGGGGTGATGTTATAAGGAGCCGGGTAAAACCTGGAGGAAGGAACCTCATCAGTAAGGAGCCACAGGAAACCACAAGGTTAGGGCCCCACTGACAGACACAGCCACTTCCCACTAGCTGCTGTTTAAAAATCAAAATGAAACATCCCAGTGCCTGGACAGGCCGTTGTCATTTTCGGGTAGCCCAATTCTATAAAACACCCTTACCCATTCTGAAGAGCTGTGGTGGGGTCATAGGTCAAGGCCATACCACCCTATAAAGGAAGAACACAGTGTTCATAATGCGAGCCCTTGGGGGAGAACAGGAGGAAGCCCAGAGTGCCAAGACTGGGACATATTTGATTCAACAGATTAAAGTCAAGTCTGGACAGGTCCTACTACAGCCATTCCAGAGTTTTCCTGGTTGTGCAAGCTGCAAAATCCCACTAAAGACCCACACTGAAGATCATGTTAAGCAGCCAGTCATCTCTCAGTTACTGTTAACTCTCAAACTTGCCGCTTAAACTCACAGGAATCGGGCCCTGGTAAATTCCATTCCATGTTAATGTCCTTAGTACTCCTGTCTCCTCAGAGGTCCTCTTACCATATCTCCATTCCTTGGCCAGGCCCGTCCATTTTGCATGTATTTCCCTTGGTTCTGTCGTTTCTTTGGACCACCATCAGCAAATTTGCAAAGCAAGGGATCAGATGGGGCTGCCAAGAAAGAAAGACACAGCTGAGTCTCACCCTCTGAGTCCACTCACACTCATGCAAAATGCCTCCAGAATCTTCACTGGAAGTAACAATCTATGGCTCTCTCAGCCTGATTCCCAGATGCCTCACCTGGGACTCCAGCAGGTGTCTTAATATATTTTCCATTAAAGTGGGTGATGATGGCTTCACACTTCTCTGTGGACTCCATCCTAAGGAGCACAAGAGGGGTTAGGCTCTAGCTTCTCCAGGATCTGCACTCCCCCTACATTCAAAGAGAAAGCTCTAAGTTCCCAGCCCACAAATACTCCAAAAGTTGTCACTATAGAAACACAGTTTCCTCCACACAAATTCAAGGTATCTTGAAGAGGCAACCCTAGCTTCTAATGAACGTTCCCTCAACTGGCTCCTGTAGGGCTCCTGAAAAGAAAACTGAAGCTATAAATATTCCAAAGACACTGATGGATGGGCCTACTATTAGGTCTGGTTCTTAAACAAGAAACAAGAATACAGGGGCGCCTGGGTGGCTCAGTCATTAAGCATCTGCCTTCGGCTCAGGTCATGATCCCAGAGTCCTGGGATCGAGCCCCGCATCGAGCCCCGCATCGGGCTCCCTGCTCAGCAGGAGGCCTGCTTCTCCCTCTTCCACTCCCCCTGCTTGTGTTCCCTCTCTCACTGTGTCTGTCAAATAAATAAATAAAATCTTAAAAAAAAAAAAAAAGAAACAAGAATACAATAAACAGTGGCTATCATCATTATTATCATTTTTTTTTTTAAAGTAAGCTCTATACCCAATGTAGGGCTTGAACTCATGACCCTGAGATCAAGAGTCATATGCTCTACCCACTGAGCCAGCCAGGTGCCCCATGTCACCATTATTTTTTATTACAAAATTCCTCATGGAAATTGTTCCCTCACTCCAATAAAACTACACAAGCTAAGAACTTGCCAATGTTTATTTTTTGCTTCTGGTTATGATTATCAAGGTCTAATTAGCTACTAGTAATATTAAGATTTCTTGAAACTAGAGGAGGAAAGAATAATAAGAGTTCATGGTCTACAGTGATAGAAACAACAATGTTGGGAACTGCGGAGTTAAAGTATCTTGTTGGGGAAAGACAACTGAGTAAGGAATCAGAAAATCTAGATTCTTGCACCAGGTCACCCAAAATTCTGTGAGTTAGGACCTACACAAAACCCCATCAGATCCATTCCTCATTTCTGCATTAGATATAACATCCATCTACCCTACTACAGATCAAATGAGATAATGTATTTACATGTGTTCTAAAAATTATAAGGGCCTATATGACGCAAGGTTCAGTATCTTCCCCCCTTCTTTCCTTATTTATTTTAAAGATTTTATTTATTTACTTGAGAGAAAAGAGTGCATGAGTGAGCACAAGCTGGGGGGAGAGAGGGAGGGAGAGAGAGAAGCAGGCTCTCTGCTAAGCAGGACCAGGATCATGACCTGAGCCGAAGGCAGACGTTTAGCAGACACTTAACCAACTGTGTCACCCAGGCGCCCCTCCCTCCTTCCACATTTAAATTAAGTCTCATTATATTTTCTATGCCAATAACCACTAAAAATATGAACCGGTCCCATGAAGGTGGTCACTAAAAAGAGGCCTCACATGGAACCTTTTAGGGAAAACCCATGAGCTAGGTATCCCAGAGCAGCAGTCTTTAGCTGGGTTTCTACTCCTTAATCTTCCAAGAGTGTGAGCAGGCCTGAGGAGTTTTAAGAGAATTGCTCGCAGAACCTCCACTTCCTCATAAGCTCTTTCCTAAAACTGGCCTACCTGAGGACAGCTCATGCTCACTGATGGTCCAGGGCCCTCTCACAGCCCCTGCTCTGCCCTTCCTTTGCACATCTCCCCAAACTCAACATGAGGCAATGATGCCTTTTTTTTTTTTTAAAGATTTTATTTATTTATTTGACAGAGACAGAGATAGCGAGAGCAGGACCACAAGCAGCGGGAGTGGGAGAGGGAGAAGCAGGCTTCCCCTCGAGGAGGGAGCCCGATGTGGGACTCGATCCCAGGACCCTGGGATCATGACCTGAGCCGAAGGCAGACGCTCAACGACTGAGCCACCCAGGCGCCCGATGCCTGACTTTTTAAGTCTTTTTCTAAGTCAGATGTTTCTAATTCTTTCAGCAAGCTGGATGACTCAACAGGTTGCTAACCGATGCATAAAAAAATCAGTTTTGACAGATTGATCACCTTGGTTTTTGGCTTACAACTGAGAAGAAATTCAAAGAATTCCTATTTTAACAAAACTCTTCCTATTCCCATTTACTTATGTGAACAAGGTTCTCAGCATGAAAATAAAAAACAGGAACAGAATTGATATTATAGCAATAAACAATAGTCATTGTTGACTACATGACCTAATTAGAAAAACCTAAACAAAATAAAACTTATCCCTGTTATAGGAGTAAGCTTTTCCAATAAAATTTACTTTATGTGGGGTGCCTGGGTGGCTCAGTTGGTAAGCATCTGCCTTCGGCTCAGGTCACGATCTCAGGGTCCTGGGATCGAGCCCCGCATCGGGCTCCCTGCTCAGCGGGAAGCCTGCTTCTCCCTCTCCCTCTGCCCCTGCTTGTGTTCCCTTTCGCGCTATGTTTCTCTGTCAAATAAATGGATAAAATCTTTAAAAAAAAAAATTTTACTTTATGTGTACAGTTTCGTAACCACAGGAAAAAGTTCTCATTTATTGTATATACGTATTTTTGTTGCAGAGAAGTAGGACAGAATGATCCATAAAAAAACTTTCAATTATAAAAATATTCTATACTTGAATACAGTTCTGTAAGGAAATAGAATGGAAATACAAGATCAAGAACAAAAAAGGAACACTATAATAAAAATTATATGAATTATGACTATTAAAAAAAAATGTCCTAAGTATTTTTTTTTAAGTAGGCTCCACCCCCAGCCTGGAGCCCTACACAGGGCTTGAACTCACTACCCTGAAATCAACAGTCAGATGCTTACCTTCCTGAGACACCCAGACATCCCGCCCTAGGTATTTTAATTTTTATTTATTTAAATATTTTATTTATTTATTTGTCAGAGAGAGAGTACAAGCAGAGGGTGCACCAGGCAGAGGGAGAAGCAGGCTCCCCGCTGAGCAGGGAGCCTGATGCGGGACAATCCCAGGACCCTGGGATCCCGAACCCAGCCGAAGGCAGATGCTTAACCAACTGAGCCACTTATGCGTCCCTAGTCCTAAGTATTTTTAAATGGATGATTTTGTGTATCAAACTGCTATGACATTTAGATCTATTTGGATATATTTACAAATAACATGACAGGTTTTTTTTTTTAAGATTTTATTTATTTATTTATTTGACAGAGAGAGAGACACAGTGAGAGACGGAACACAAGCAGGGGGGTGGGAGAGGGAGAAGCAGGCTTCCCGCTGAGCAGGGAGCCCGATGCGGGGCTCGATCCCAGGACCTGGGATCATGACCTGAGCCGAAGGCAGACACTTCACGACTGAGCCACCCAGGCGTCCCAACTTGACAGTTTTTGTTTATTTGTTTGTTTGTTTTCAAGATTTTATTTATTTATTTGGGGAGAGAGAGCGACCACAAGCAGGGCGAGCAGCAGGCAGAGGGAGAAACAGGCTTCCCGCCGAGCAGGGAGCCTGATGCGGGACCCGATTCCAGAACCCTGGGATCACGACCCCAGCCGAAGGTAGATACCCAACCCACTGAGCCACCCAGGCATCCCGACAGTTTTATTTAAAATGTCGATATTTGTAATTTGCTGGAAATTAGATTCCCCAAGATCTAAATGTATGAAGAAAATGTATAGGTAGTAGCATAGGAACATGCAAGAGATTTCACGGGTTTTCAACTCTTCAAAACCAGTTTCCAAACTGGGCTCCGAGGCACCCCGTGCCACTGTGGTGAGCTCACAGAGGCACAGGCAGGGGATTTTTTTAACTTTCTGAAGAAAATACAGCAACATCTATTGGATACTGTGTGGACTACTAACTCTAAAAGGTCACCATTTCAACACTGGATCACGCTACGATCCTTTTAATAATGTATTTTTGCAAAGCTGTTTTTTCCATGGTTGCTATGACAAAAGCAAATACCATAAGAAAACCAATGTGTGACAGGAAATGAGGGTGTAAGTGTCCAATCTGATTCCAAGGTTTGAGAAGCTGTGAAGTGTTCAACAGGTACACATTCCATTAGTAAGTATAGAAAGTATAGTTATTTAAGAATGGAATAAAAATATTTTTCCTCTTTTTTTTTAAGATTTTATTCATTTATTTACTTAGAGCTTGATCGAGCAAGTGAGCAAGTGGGGGGAGGAGCAGAGGGAGAGGGACAAGTAGACTCTACACTGAACGCAGAGCCCCACGCAGGGATTGATCTCATGACCCTGAGATCATGACTGGAGCCAAAATCAAGAGTTGGATGCTTGACCAACTGAGCCACCCAAGCTCCCCTCTTTTTTTTTAAGTAAACTCAACTCCCAATGTGGGATTCAAACTCACAACCCCAGGATCAAAAATCACATGCTCTACCAACTGAGTCAGCCAGGTGCCCCTTAAGTATTTCTTTTGGTCTAGAGCAAAAAAAAAATTATTGACACAACTTAAGGTGCCATGAACTGAAAAAGGTTGAGAACCTCTGCTTTAAAAGAGTGTGGGAGGTGGGGCGCCTGGGTGGCTCAGTCGTTAAGCATCTGCCTTCAGCTCGGGTCATGATCCCAGGGTCCTAGGATCGAGCCCCGCATCGGGCTCCTGGCTCAGCAGGGAGCCTGCTTCTCCCTCTGCCTGCCACTTCTCCCTGCTTGCGTGCTGTCAAATAAATAAAATCTTAAAAAAAAAAAGTGTGGGAGCCAAACAGTGATCTGAAGGGGCACCTGCACCCCAATGTTTATGGCAGCAATGTCCACAATAGCCAAAATGTGGAAAGAGCCCAGATGTCCATCAACAGACGAATGGATAAAGAAGATGTGGTAAATATATACAATGGAATATTACTCAGCCATAAAAAAAAAAAATGAAATCTTACCATTTGCAACAATGTGGCTGGAACTAGAAGGTATTATGCTAAGCTAAATAAGCCAATCAGAGAAAGACAATTATATGATTTCACACATATGTGAAATTTAAGAAACAAAACAGAGGATCATAGGGGAAGGGAGGGAACAATAAAACAAGACAAAATCAGAGAGGGAGGCAAACCATAAGAGACTCTTAACAATAGGAAACAAACAGGGTTACTGGAGGGGAGGTGGGAGGGGATGGGGTAACTGGGTGATGGGGGAGGGCACATGATGTAATGAGCACTAGGTTTTATATGCAACTGATCAATCACTAAACTCTACCCCTGGAACTAATAATATTATATATGTTAATTAATTGAATTTAAATTTTAAAAAAAGTGGGAGCAAAAACAGTTTGATGACCACAAGCCTAAGAACTCTCTTTTAGTTATACTTGGGATTGCCAGCAGGTGGTGCTACCAAGATTGAGTTGGCTACGGAAGAGGCCCTATTCCTTGTTCCCAAGATCTGGAGAAACACTCCAGAGTAAGAGAGTGTTCCTGGACCAGACAAGGTATTATAAAACAAAATGGGACCTTCAGATCATGTATTCCAATAGTTTTCAAACTTTCAGAAAAAGCAACAGTCTCCTTTCAAACAAAATCTTTTTTTTTTTTTAAGATTTTATTTATTTATTTGGCAGAGAGAGAGACAGCAAGAGAGGGAACACAAGCAGGGGGAGTGGGAGAGGGAGAAGCAGGCTTCCGCTGAGCAGGGAGCCCGATGCGGGGCTCAGTCCCAGGAGCCTGGGATCATGACCTGAGCCGAAAGGCAGACGCCCAACAACTGAGCCACCCAGGAGCCCCTCAAACAAAATCTTAAAATAAAAGCAGAACCATTTCTTCAGTGGGCTGAAAGAGGCCGAAGCTCTACAATGACACCTAGGCTCAGAAGAGGGCACCCTGGAGAACTCCACAGCTCCAGGGAACGCCTGAAGAAAATCACTCATCTAAATCACTCTCCACAGAGTAAACCAAGGCTCAGAAAGGTCTGATATCACAGGGGCAGTTAGTGGCAGGGTTGGTTCCAGAATCTAAGTCTCTCAACAGAACTGAAAAGGAAGAACACATCTTCTACTTCATCCCACTGATCTTGAAGCCAGAAGGATTAGGGTACTGTTCTACCACCCACTGCTGGGGGACCCCGGGCAAATCACTTCACAGTGGAGACTCTGGTTTCATTATCTATATAAAAGGATACAGAATTATTTTATTCTGCTTGGGTCTGGATCAAAGGAACAATTGCTAGAGTAGCAAGAAATAGTGGGGAAAGGATAAAGATTTTGAGGGCAAATGGGTATTTAAGTACTGTGACCTATAGTTTAAATGAACTTCTGATTCACTGTCAAGTACGTTAGGCCAAGAGTCTGGTCCCTTGAGGGAGGGGGCACAGACTTTTTTGGTGACCTTCTAAGGGACATTCTTCATTAACCTCATCATTTCCCATTCTGGCATCCCTCACCTTGCAAAGCCAACCCCTCTGCTGGTCCCACTGGTGTCTCGGAGGATTCGAGTGGAGATAACCTGGCCAAAAGGCTTCAGCATCCCCTCTAGTTCTTGCTCATCCATGGAGAGTGGAAGGTTTGATATGTATAAATTTGTGGGGTCCTGTTCCTGTTGCTGTGGGAAAAAAAGGGAGGAAATGAAGCTCACAACTCTTATCCCTCCCCCACCCTCAGCCCTCATCACAGAATGACATCTCAGAAAAGACATAGTAGGAAGGGGCCCACATAAACAAAGGAAATCTTAACTATTTATAACACCTAGTCCCACTACCATGGATTGTACGTTGAGTCCAGCCAAAAAAAAAAAAAAGCAGACTTACTACTTCTAGTACTTTACAAGCCCACTGATGACGTTTTAGCTGTCTCTTTAAGAACGAGGCAGAGCAACGCTCCTCGGCCAACAGCCTATTGCCGGGCTGGATTCTCTAGGACGAGCTCCCCTGCCGGCTGTTTTAAGTAAGCCCCCTCCCTCCTCTTCCGGCCACAGCGGAACCCTCGGAGTAGGAATGCCTGTTGACTGCCCAGTGGAGAGAGAGCAGGAAGGGGGAGAAGGGGAAAGGGAAGGCAATGTGCTGGGGGCTGCGCTGGGGGCTGCGCTAGGGGCCTGATGGAGAGTCACTGGGTCACCAGGCAGCCCGGAGAGCTCTAGTCTCATAAGAACTCTGAAAGCTCCTAAACTCCGTTGTCAGAGGGTTCTTTTCCGGCAAGAAGAGGTGGAAGAGCCCCTCCAGGGGGCAGAAGGTGCAAAATGGCAGTAACTTCCCAGATCTGTATTTTTAAGAATTAAAGCAGTCACTGCCCTAGACACTGGGTCACCAGCAACTTCAACCCCTTAGGGCTTTGTCTCTCTTCCACCAGACAGTGCAGGGGGACCGGCAGCCTGCCTCATCAGCTCTACAAGGACTTCAAGAAGGCAAGGGGGCAATCCCACCACAAAAAAGGGATAGAAAAGCCTCGAGTTTTCTAGTAAGTTGGATTAAAATAAAAGCTCCAGGGAGATGTGACAAGGAGGGACAGTTTCCTTCCTTGCTGTGGCTTCCCTCTCCCCCACCCCTAGCAACTCTCCTACCCTACCTCCCCTATCCCCCAAACACGCACCAAGGGAGAACAGCATGGGGAGGTGGAGAGCAAGGCTCTGAACTTCTGAGCTGCACAACTCGCTGCTTCCGAGGATGTTGCAAAACTACCACAAGCTGCTTTGTAGGGAAGTGGGGCCAGGGTGGAAATGGGGAAAGAGAAAGAGAAAGGGAAGCGTCTTGACCCTCTCACCTGATTACATTATAATACTTGATGAGAGCAACAGAGCTACCTGCCATAGATTTTGAAGACCACCTTCCTCTAGCAGCCAAGGGGTACTCCATGGGACCCAGCCTGACTTTGGCCAGATAGTCAAAAAGTGCTGCAGATAGCCCTTGCCCATCAGGTTCATGGCCTTAAACCCTCTGGAAGGAAGCCTTAGACCTGGCCCTGTGGTGCTAACCACCAGCCCTCTGGGGAACAGACACGGGGCAGAAGACTTACCTTTGCCATCTGAGCCTGCACACCACTGGCTTTCAGTGCCGTGACAGCTTTCTGTGCGGCTGAAGGACTGTCGAAGTCCACAAAGCCATAGCCTGGAACAGGGAAACAGCATCACTGGGAGGTGGGGGTGTAAGGGAGGTAGGAGGCCAGGCTTTTCAGGAGACAGAGGAAGAGTTATGATCCATGGAACAGAAGTGGTAGGGAGAGAAAGAAATTAAGAGGTTTCAGGTGGTTATCCGTGTGCTCTTCAAACCCCATGAGATTTGGTCTATTTTACAGCTAAGAATGCCAAGTGCAGCGAAGTCTTTGTGGTGTTCTTGCCTTTTTCCGTCCCCACTAAGAAACCGGAGGTTTCAGAAACTAGGCTCTTTTAACAATCCGCAGCCCCCACCCCTAACAGAACTCTTTTCTGTTTTCTAGCCACATCCCAGGAACGCTAGGCATGTTCGAATAGGGCCTCTGCACTGCAGATAGCCAGCCGCCTGCGAGAAGCCCCACCCCACCCCAACAGACGGTCCTTTCCCTCCTTCCTCTCTTCATCCCCACCTACAGCTGCTCGAAATCTCAACAAAGCTATTCATCCTTACAAAGGAACACCCACCAGGTCACCCCACCACTGTCACCACCACAAGCTTTTACAAGGCTTTACTAAGTAGAAATAAGCTTACCTACCCACACCCACCCTCCAATCCGGGGCATCTTCATGGAAACATGAAGTACAAAGTAAGCTCAAGAGACTCACAGGCACTCTGCAGGCTTCTAGCCTTGGGTCCCCAAAATAGCATTTTCAGCTCTAGCTCTCTGGTCACCAAACAATCTAAATATCTACTAGTCTTTTAAGCCTGAAAGCCTTAGAGACTCCTCCCCTCACTGGGTCCTAGGAGCGCAGCGCAGTGAAGTGCAGAGGCAAGGGGAGGCCTCACTCGCAGTCACTCTCCATCACCAAAGACAGCTGTTCTCTCACCTTTGCATTTGTTTGTGCTCTTGTCCAGGATGGCCTTAGTGGAGACAATCTTGCCATATCTGAGGGAAAAGAAAATGCAAAGTGAGGGGCGCCTGGGTGGCTCAGTCGTTAAGCGTCTGCCTTCGGCTCAGGTCATGATCCCAGGGTCCTGGGATCAAGCCCCGCATCATCGGGCTCCCTGCTCAGCGGGAAGCCTGCTTCTCCCTTTCCCACTCCCCCTGCTTGTGTTTGTGTTCTCTCTCTCTCTCTCTCTCTCTCTCTCTCTCTCTCTCTCTCTCTCTCTCTCGTTGTCTCTCTCTGTCAAATAAATAAATAAAATCTTAAAAAACAAAACAAAACAATAGCATTAAAAAGAAAAAGAAAATGGGGGCAGGAATTTGGAACAGGACAGAGACTGAGACATCTGGATGAATCCATGCCCTTTCTTCACAACTGTTCCCACTCAAACCTTAATAAAAACAAGAAGAAATGAATTTAAAATGTCACGCTTATCATACAAACCCATTCTCCAAAGGTGCCTACAAGAAATAAGGTAACTGTAGTCCTTACAATATCAACACATTTCTCTCTTCTTCCCCACCTAAGGCTCAGATATGAGTTGGAAAGAGACTATTGTCTTCTGGGAAAGCAGCTTGGTGATGTCCACATAGCAGAGTGTGTACGCAGCTCTGGCTAGATTCCTTGCAGACTAACTATAATCCTTAATAATTACTTACCTTCTTTTGGAGAAACACCATTCCTCCTAGGAAAAACCTATAGACACTTCTCTTCTCTGACACCCTGTTCCCCACCCCGGGCGAAGGTTAACCTGAGCCAAACTGCGTTTGTTCAAACCCTGGTTCTGCCACTTTGTAGCTATCCGCCATCTTGGACAAGTCATTTAACCTTCCGGGGCCTCAGTCTCATCATCCATGGAGACCGGATTGTTGGGAATATGAAATGAATTCATGAATATAAAGCACTAATGTCTACCACATGGTAAACACTTGGAAGTTCTTAACTGCTATTATTATTGTTTTATATTCAAGGAACCTCAACCTTAATGCAAGCCGTTCTCTCTCCTGCTTTGCTTTATTCTAAGATTTCTATTTCTCACTGTCAAGACCCGAGCATGTTAGGGAGATGAATGGGTATAAGACCAGGTGCAACAACAGTGTTAGTAAAATTACCCAAAACATGACAATAAGACAAAATGAAGACTGCATATCCTTTCAGTGTCGTTCTGGAATACTGTCTAAAAGGCTCATTTGAAATATATTTCATTATCTAGGGGGATGTTTCTTTGACTTACTATTTACTACTGATTAGAGTCCAGACCTTGCAAAGATACGTATTAGCTTGTAGATTTTGTCCAGTAGAAATGCAAATTTCTTTTTTTTTTAGTTTTTAAAACTGTTTATTTATTTATTTATTGGGGGGGGGCAGAGGGAGAGGGGACAAGCAGACTCCGTGGTGAGCACAGAGCCCAATGTGGGGCTTGATCCCATGACCCCAAGACCATGACCTGAGCCAAAATCAAGAGTCAGATGCTCAACCGACTGAGCCACCCAGTGCCCCAATGCCAATAATTTCTGTCCAGTACAAAAGAGAATCCCAAAGGTTACTGTTTTATAATGTCCCACAGGATATGAACCAGTTTTGTTTATAACCTAGCAATCTTATTCCAACACTCTTTCTTCAGTACCTACACTCAGTCCCTCAAACGCTCTTTGAACTCATTTAGCATCCTGTTGGTTCCCTTATTCATGAATGAAATAAACCTTGAGTATGTGTTTACCTATCTTTGTAGGAGTCATGTTTTTCAACTTTTTGAAAATTATACTTTGGCAGCAGAGGCATGTGGAGTTCCCCGAACTTGAGCAGTGCAGTACCACAGGGCAGGACTATACTAGAAGTGTTCCACCAGAAAGAAGTCTCTACATTCCACTCTAGGAAGGTGAAAATATTAAAGATACAGGAGGACAGAAATCACTAACAGAATCAGAAGTACAGGATTTAACTGAAAACAGTTGGCAGGGACTGAATACGAGGCCAATACCCCAAACAAGTATTGTGGGGGTTCCCCCCATCCCTAAAGAACATTATGATGATTGATATATTTGTTTTGCTCCTTGGCAGCCTCTCACTGACTTTTTTGGTGGGGCTTCTGTCACCCAATGGATTAGACAGAATAAGCCAAGCAGTGGTCTGGAGGTTGGGAAAAGAACACATTAAAATGGTGGTGGGCATGAATGTGGTGCTCCTAGCCCTTCAGGGCCACCTATTTGGATTCTTTCCCAGATGTAGGCAAGGGAAGGGATGCATGAGACCGGTGGGAGGACATATATGCTGCCATCTTTAGCAAGGCCCCAGGGTCTGCGTGGGCTGAGACTTAGAGCCCAGAGCTTCCACTGCAGCTGGCAACAGCTGGCTGCTGCTGCTTGCTCCTAGAGGAAGAAGCCCCTCCAGACAGTCAGGGGTTCCAGTCTCAGACTCCAGGCCTCTAACCAGCAGCAGGGGTTAGCATCCAGCAACATTCACGTCCCCTACAACCAGAGCCACAACTGGGACAAAAACAGGAAGTCCCTCTAGGCATGGTAAACACCCTTCCTAGAAAGTTAACTCCCAGCTCACAGCATCCATAAGGGTTCCAGCCATCTGCTCTTCTCAGCCTCCTTTTTTGTCATAATTCATCTAGCACCTAGTCTTTCCCTGCCTCATTTCTACTCCTCCATAGTCCCCTATCGGGCTCCTTGGTTCTAGCCCATATCATGACCCTGAGTACTCTCATCCCTTCAGACACTAAGGTAAGGCAACTGTTGGGAAGAGCAAAATGAAAGTCTAAAAGTATAGTGAAGTTGGGGTGCCTGGGTGGCTCAGTCGTTAAGCGTCTGCCTTCGGCTCAGGTCATGATCCCGGGGTCCTGGGATCCAGCCCCACATCGGGCTCCCTGCTCGGCGGGAAGCCTGCTTCTCCCTCTCCCACTCCCCCTGCTTGTGTTCCTTCTCTCGCTGTGTCTCTCTCTGTCAAATAAATAAATAAAATCTTAAAAAATAAATAAATAAATAAAAGTATAGTGAAGTAGAACTGAGTTTTTGTCTGTCTTGTGGAGTGAGAGGATTTTTGTAGCACATTATATTTAGGACAAGAAACACAGGGTACAGAAATCAAAGAACTAGCCTGATATGATAGTCTTTTCCCTCATAAATCAACATTTCTGCCAATTCCCATTCCCCTCAAAAATTACTAGTCCTAGACTAAGTCCCCTCACTTCCATTTAAATACTTTTCTAGCAAGGTGAGTTTTACACGTATGCCTAGCCTTTAGAAACTGAGTTTACGCAGCCCAGTGCTAGCAAAAATGTACCAAACCTCAGAAGAATAAGGGACTTACAAAATATCTCTGATGACTTCTACAACTACATTTTGGGGGCAGAATGTTCTGCCTTTCCAGGATTTGGGACAGCTGGAATTTACATATACTGTTGTGGGAGTTTGGATTAGTTTAACCACTTCAGAAAATCACTTAGTAGTATCTACAAAAGCTGAACATATGTACATCCCGTGACTCCGTAATTTTACTCCTAGGTATATACCCAACATAAATGTGTACACATATGCACCAGAAGCCATGAACAAGTTCATGGCAGCACTATTCATATTCATAATAGTCACAAACTGGAAACAATTCAAATGTCCAGCAACAGTAGAATGGGTAAATAAACTATGGTATATTCCTATGAAGGAATTCTATAAAGCAGTAAGAATAAACAAAGTTTTGCTACACGCAACAATATAGAGGAATCTTACAAATAACAAACAAAGAAACAAAAAGAGCAAAAGAAGCCAGACATAGAAGGGCATGTATGCTCTAGCATTGTCTTTACATGAAGTTCAAACAAACCACACCAACCATTTAGAATCCAAACGGTAGATTGGTTGGGGGCAGGAGGGATAGAAATAGAGAGGTGGGCTTCAGAAGAGCTGGTAATGTTCTATTTCTTGACCTGGTCACATGGGACTGTTACGCGGCTATGTTCACTTCGTGAAGTCACTGCTGTATATATATTTACGATTTGTGCGCTTTTCTCTATGTTTGTTATATATCAATAAAAAGTTTCAAAGATGGCAATTACACAGTCTAGGTTCCTATTTCTACTTCTTTCTACCATTCACTTACCCAAACAATTTTCCCCCTCCCCACCCCCAGACTTCTTCCTCTAACCGTTCCCCCAAATATATCATTTGAAGGCCATATTTTTCCGCCAAACAGAACTGAGCTGGCATCTTTGGACTCTTGCAATTTTTCCAGCATTCCCAAAGGGGCTAATTCCATGGTAGTTATGTCAACCGCATGACTCAAATCTACTGTGAAGAACCCCGAAAGGTCTGTAGGGGGTAGATGCAGAGTGACAGCCTCTTTCTCCACCTTCGCCTTCATCCACTAATTTGAGAGCTCCTCCGGGTCACTGGGATTATCTGTATCAGCAAAAACTCTCCTCAGTGTACAATTCGATTAGCTAGTTCCACTTTCTTCTGTCCCTACTGCCGGCTCTCACTGCCTTCTAATCAGTATCCTTAGGGACATTGAGCATTTCTTTCTTTTTTTTTAGATTTTATTTATTTATTTGTCAGAGAGAGAGAGAGAGCACAAGCAAGGGGAACGGCAGGCAGAGGGAGGAGCAGGCTCCCCACTGAGCAGGGAGCCCGATGCGGGGCTCGATCCCAGGACCCTGGGGTCATGACCTGAGCCGAAGGCAGACGCTCAAGTGACTAAGCCACTCAAGCGTCCCAGGGCATTGAGCACTGCTGTTTGAGGTGTAAGGACAGGAGTCTTTCCACAAAGACCATAAGTTCTGGGAGCATACTGGAAACAGTCACATATTAGGCTTCAAAGGCCAGCCCCATCCTGACTTTCCTCAGAGGAACATATAAAGGTTTTATATATTAGTAGTGGGTAGAATTTCTTTAAGAGGGGCTGCTAAGAAATCTTGTGACAAACAGGACTGCATTTCAGGACACGAGTATCTGGCAAGAAGCCAGTATCACCAAATCCGTACTGGCCCTCAAAGCCTACCCACATGTTCCCCAACTTACGACTGGCACAATTTGACAAGGTCCTGGTCAGTAGTGCCTGGTTGCAATCCCCGGATATAGAGGTTGGTTTTGCTCAACTGGTCATTTCCATTGCTCCCACTGCTGCTGTTCGGGGTACTGTTGCTTGGACTAGGTGGTGCCATCTGCTGAGACAATGACACATAGGGCTGCAGAGAGACAGGTAGAATAGAAGGTCAGAAGATTATACATTTAGATACTGGAAAGTGAGGAAGATTCTAGCTCCTTGGAAAGAATGAGTCCAAACTTTAACAGCAATTAACTCAATAGAGAGTAAAAACAAAACTAACTAAAGGAATTCCTCTCTGCCATAGAATAAGAACATATACAACTGTTTTTACCTATCTTTCATGAATAATGAGAGGCCAAAATAAGCTTGTTAAAGGTTTTTAAAAAAGGTACTTTGTTATAGTAGAATGTTTTTATCATACTGCGACTGGAGAACAGAGTGTATGCCTCTTAAATAACCTATGTAATGAGACAGGGCTAATAAAATCTAAGTTCTATTTAAAAATGATGAAGACAAAATAATAAAACTTTATCAAATCATGAAAGTATAAATAAGTTTAACATAGATGATTCAAAACACTGTAGAATATGAGAACTGCAAAATCCCTGTAGGAGCTTGAACATTACTGTAAACTTAGACAAATAAAATGAAATACTAATGACCATGTAAAAATACTAATTACCAGTAAAAACTGAAATTTGTTACCATACTAATAGGGATTTAGTCCTAAGTTGCTTACAAATTTTTTAAAAGTTTAAGTGAATGAACAATAGATACATTATGGTCAAGGAAACCCAAGATTTGGAACAAGTATCCCTTATCTTTTACTACTGATAGCAGGACAGGCAAGCAGACTCTGCTACATTTTTAAGGTACTTCTGTTAGAGGCAAATACCAAGTTGGCTGGAACATGGATCCATTCCTCATGGATATTTTAAATCCTTATGTTCTTTTTTTTTTTTTTTAAGATTTTACCTATTTATTTGACAGCGAGAGAGGGAACACAAGCAGGGGGAGTGGGAGAGGGAGAAGCAGGCTTCCACTGAGCAGGGAGCCTGATGTGGGGCTCGATCTCAGGACCCTGAGATCATGACCTGAGCCAAAGGCAGACGTTTAACCGACTGAGCCACCCAGGGCCCCTAAATCCTATGTTCTAATCAGGCTTTTAGTGTTTACATTTATATCGGGTTCATAATACCCTAAATTTGCATAGTTACCTATAATATACCATACTCATATTCCAGTTCTCCCTAGGCTCAAAGCACTTTATAATATTAATCTATTTGGAATTGCTTCCCTCTCAAATGCTTTTTGGTGGTGGTGTGGAGGGCAAGCAGTACTAACAGAAGAAAAAGAGAAACATGAATATCAAAGAGAGGAAATCTTCCCCCCACAAAGAATCTTAATTAATGTGAAATGTGCTTCTTCTATTTTAAGGCCCTGACCTTGAGCAAACTTTAAAATAAAATCTTTGCTTGGGCTAAAATATGTTGAAGCAGGAATTTTCCTAACTTTATCACTACACACAATAAAAATGTGCACCCACATGCACAAACACAGTTTATCCCTTGGCTCTATACTGCAGCAAAGAAGAGACCCAAGATCACATTCTGAGAGGGCCCAAAGACTCATGACCTACTACAGCTCTCACACACCCATTATAGTTCCCAACCCTGTCCCCATTCTCTTTGCCAGCACTTATACTAGGATTTCCCATATAGAACAATCCATGTGATGGTAGTGATAACAATCAGCCATGTGATGATGGTGACAGTCACGTGATATAGTCAATAAGGGCAGGATAGTGCGGGGGGCATGTGTGTATTTTTAAGCAACTTTCAGACAAGACAAAAAAAAGCCAAAAAGTCATACATTCAGCTCTAGAAATGGCAGTACTCTTTTTTTTTTTTTTTAAGATTTTTATTTAATTATTCATGAGAGACAGAGAGAGAGAGAGGCAGAGGGAGAAGCAGGCTCCCAAGGAGCAGAGAGCCCGATGCAGGACTCGATCCCAGGACCCTGGGATCATGGCCTGAGCCGAAGGCAGACGCTTAACCATCTGAGCCACCCAGGCGCCCTGGCAATACTCATTTTAAGAATGACATTGAAGGGGCGCCTGGGTGGCTCAGTCTGGTAAGTGTCTGCCTTTGGCTCGGGTCATGATCTCAGGGTCCTAGGATGGAGCAACCCCCCACCCACCCCAGGCTCAGCGGGAGTCTGCTTCTCCCTCAGCCTCTGCTCCTCCCCACCACTCATGCTCGCTCTCTTTCTTTCTCTGTCTGTCTCAAATAATCTTTCTTTTCTTTTTTTTTTAAGATTTTACTTATTTTTTTGACAGAGAGACATAGCCAGAGAGGGAACACAAGCAGGGGGAGTGGGAGAGGGAGAAGCAGGCTTCCCATGGAGCAGGGAGTCCAATGCGGGGCTCGATCTCAGGACCCTGGGAACATGACCCCAGCCGAAGGCAGACGCTTAACGACTGAGCCACCCAGGCGCCCCTATAAATAAATAATCTTAAAAAAAAAAATGACATTGAAATCTCCATTGGATTACTAGATTTGCAATAATAATCAAATACTGGGGGGCGCCTGGGTGGCTCAGTTGGTTAAGCGACTGCCTTCGGCTCAGGTCATGATCCTGGAGTCCCTGGATCGAGTCCCGCATCCGGCTTCCTGCTCGGCAGGGAGTCTGCTTCTCCCTCTGACCCTCCCCTCTCTCATGTGCTCTCTCTCATTCTCTCTCTCTCTCAAATAAATAAATAAAATCTTTAAAAAAAAAAAAAAGTTTTAATAATCAAATACTGGGGCACCTGGGTGGCTTAGTCGTTAAGTGTCTGCCTTCGGCTCAGGTCATGATCCCAGAGTCCTGGGATTGAGCCCCACATCGGGCTCCCTGCTCAGCGGGAAGCCTGCTTCTCCCTCTCCTTCTACTGCTCCCCCTGCTTGTGCTCTCTTGCTCTGTCAAATAAATAAATAAAATCTTTAATAATAATAATAGTAATAATAAAATACTAGTGGGTCAAATACTACCCCCTCCATTATCATTACTATCATAATTGCACCACCTGATTTAAAGTACATTCAAGACTGTGACCTATATTCTAATCATGATTGCTCCCAAGGTCAGAATAACATTACTGCTAAAGATCATTCGGTAATAGATGTCTTTCCTTGTCTCCAAGGAATTACTACTATTTACCCTCTGGCTGAGAAAGCCAAACTTTTTCTCCTTAGTAGGAGATTCTAGGCCTGGGGTGATGATGATGATAATGACAACGTCAACAACAAGGACAGAAAAAGCATCTCCAGTAGCATGAGACCATTTGCCTGAGTTTATCTATCCCCTTTCCCAACGTGAGAGAACATCTCTAAGAGAAAGTATCAAAGATGCCAGGACTGTCCAAACAAGAACACAAGGGTTATTACTGAAGAAAGAGATAAACTGAAAAGACGTTACTGGTTTGCTACATAGCTATAACCTTGGTTTTAATACTAAGGTCTTAGCTCTTAACTTAAAAATATGACTTAGTTGATAATAAACTGGTTGCAAGGCCAGAAAAATTCCTAGGAAAAAAAAAGATATGGTTGAAAAAACCCCCACAAACTTTTATCTCTTGATATTCCTACGCAGCTTCTGAAATTGCCACATAGGTTTGCCTCCAAAGAGAAATGGTAAAAATGAATAATCAATCAATCAATCAATCAAACTTGAGAAAGCCCCTAAGTAAAGCCTATCTGGCTTCAACAAAAGAAACTATTTGGACAGACACAATAACTAATATAAACTAAGAATCTATGTTTAGGGGCCCCTGGGTGGCTCAGTCGTTAAGCGTCTGCCTTTGGCTCAGGTCATGATCCCGGGGTCCTGGGATCGAACCCCGCATCCGGCTCCCTGCTCAGCGGGGAGCCTGCTTCTCCCTCTCCCACTCCCCCTGCTTGTGTTCCCTCTCTCACTGTGTCTCTCTCAATAAATAAATAGTCTTTAAAAAGAATTTATGTTTACCTATTATATAAGAGAGAAAAGGAGAATATGTACAACGGTACAGAGAACTGAGATATTCTTATGGGGGGAGAGAAGGATATGGCAGGATTGTCTCTCTTGACTCCTACTGAAATGGTTCTCTGGAGGTCACTGGTCCTCTGTCAGGGCCTAGGCTAGAAACTGAAAAGCAAGATATTTCCTTAATCCTCCTGTACTATGGTAGATTTCATAAACCAAAGCAGACTCTAAATCTTAAAGCTAATTTGCTTTTTATCACTTTGTCCTAAAAAAATGTCATTTTCGTGTGAGCATCAAATCCAGGATTATTAGAAATTGAAATACGAGGTTCTTTTTAGGAAGGGATAGAAATCTATTACAGCAGAACGCCTGGGTGGCTCTGTCGGTTAAGCCTCTGCCTTCAGCTCAGGTCACGATCTCAGGGTCCTGGGATCGAGTCCCACATCGGGCTCCCTGCTCAGCAGGGAGGCTGCTTCTCCCTCTGCCTGCCGCTCCTCCTGCTTGTGCTCTCTCTCGACAAACAAACAAATAAATAAAATCTTTTGGGCGCCTGGGTGGCTCAGTTGGTTAAGCGACTGCCTTCAGCTCAGGTCATGATCCTGGAGTCCCGGGATCGAGTCCCACATCGGGCTCCCTGCTCAGCAGGGGGTCTGCTTCTCCCTCTGACCCTCTTCCCTCTCTTGCTATCTGTCTCTCATTCTCTCTCTCTCAAATAAATAAATAAAATCTTAAAATATATATATATAAATAAATAAAATCTTTTAAAAAAACAAAAAATCGGTTTAAAAGAAAAAAGAAATCTATTATAGCATCTATCAGCTAATTACATCCCTTTGAATGACATGTAGTTTTGTTTTGCTCCTAGAAGAAAAAGAAAAACTGGCAGGTTTTTACTTATAACCTTGGTTCATATTCATGTAGGTAGAACTCCTCAAGTCAGCTGGATCAGTGGCCATTGAGAACAGGACTTGGAGGGGCACCTGGGTGGCTCAGTCGGTTAAGCATCTGCCTTCAGCTCGGGTCATGATCTCTCGGTCCTGGGATCTAGGCCCGTGTTGGGCCCCCTGCTCAGTGTGGAGTCGTCTTCTCCCTCTCTCTTTGCCCCTTCCCTTGCTCATGTGCACACACATGCGCTCTCTC